ATTAACACACGGAAGCAATGCTAGCACAGCGCGCAAAACAACGTAGCTTGTCCAGGTTAGCGTTTCTAGGCATTGCAGTGAACCACGTGGATTCTGAGATAGTTTTGAGCAGGCCATCTCAGCAAGTGGCTATGTTAGCTGAAGTGGGGCTGAAGCCCGGTAGATTCAACTGAAATTGTTTGGATAGAGAGAAAGCCTCGTTAGCAAAACTGCATTTTTCTACTCCGGGTTTCTGGAAGATGCTGAAGATGACGAGGCTTATCCGGTGGCTTCCATGTCAATGCCAGCCAAACCGCTCAACCACCCACAACATTTGAAGGCGAAAGTGGTCCCCCACCCAACATATTGACCCTCGTTTTGTGACACACTGAAACGCGACACACGATGGCAGGCAACCTCCGATGTTTGAATTTATTGCTTTGGATTGAGCTTTGAGCAGCTTGAAATTGAAACAGTTCTTATTTCAGGACGGCTTTTGCTTCCCATTTTTGTAGCAGACCTCCCGTCGAGATCCTGATCCAGGATTCCCTGCCCTGAGGTGGACGACATCACCGTCGTTTTGCTCTACATGGGCTTTCCTCCTGAGAGCGCGTAAAGCGAGCGAGCCGCAAAGTTGCGATGTTTAGCTTCCTTGTCCGAACTCTGAGAACCTGACCAGAGTATTTGCAATAGGGGCGGTGTTTCCTCCAAAAATGAAGAAATCCCCCTCCCTTCCGTTCATCAACCGGTGGTTTATCAATCCGATTTTCCCATCAGTCTACTATTGATCTGGAGGGAACATTGGGGACAATTTGCCTAAGAGTCTCCCATGTCTGAAACAAATGACATTGTCCTTGGGTCACATCTTGATGAGTCATGGATGCAAAAAGCCCGCCATGTAGTTGAGAGGGTTGCCTGAGATTCATATTATGGGTGCGTCTTTCTTGAGGGTACCCTTTTTAGTTTCGAGACAAACCGTATACGTATGAACCCTTCGCTTCAGTTCTTTCCGTTCCCCAAGCGACCGGAGAAAACAACATGTTCGAAATTCGCCCTCCAGTTCATTCAATTCCGCTGTCTTGCGCGCATGCTCGGCTCGAAAAGGGTCGAGCCTTAGCTCGAGTGAGCCGCGTTGAAAGTTCCTAACCGCCGCAGCTGAAAGAGCGGCAGGGCGGAGCTCGTCTCGCGTCCGAAGGACTCAAGAGCGACATTTGGGGTGGTTTTGGCTGCCAGGCCACTTTTCTGCTGTTGAGTCACGCTAAAGTAGGGTTACAGAGAAAGCTTTTGTCACTGGTGCCGGATAGTTCTTGATCTTCTGTCTTGACATCCAAGGATGTGGCCGGTTTTCTTGGGTTGCTTGCAGACAGAGCGCTGAAGTGATCGTGGCTGAAGGGCTGAACGGTCGGCCCGTCACCTTTTCAGCAGCCGGATGTCCGCTGGATATTCGCTTCTCCCACGCAGTTCCGGTCCCCTCTCTCTGAAAACTGAAATTCGGAAGCCGTTTTCCTTGTTTTGTGTGCAGCAAGGAAAAAGCAGTGGGACATCCCTTTTGCAACCTTGGAGCTTGCTTGGGGTAGGGATGGTCATGGACCCTTTAGTCTACCACACACACGAGTCGTGTCCATTCCACACGACCATGGCACATGCGTCATCAGGACCCCTACTGTTTGGTTGGTTGATCATTTTTACAAGTATGGAACATGCTAAAACCACCTTTGACTTGAAGAAACTCCTTTTGGCTTTGCCTGTGCGAGGGCCGGAGCCAGGTTGTTTTCCTTCACGTTATTCCTGGTTGGAGTCGTTTCCTGGAAAGCCAGCTTTGGAACGGCCGTGGCGATTCAGCCGGAATCCGGTCTGCGAGTTCTCACCGTAAGGCGAAGTCCCTTTGCGGACCGGTTGGGGCGTATCAGCTGTGCAACTTAAGAACCAGTCCCCCAGGTTGATGCCAAGACCTGGTCCTGCATTCGGAGCAACTGCCCGGTCTGATTGAACCCCCAAGAATTGCAGACGTTGTCTCAACCAAAAGACGACACTTAGGCGCTTTTCTGGCGGCAATTCAGCCATGCCTGGTGTTTTTGGTTCACTTTGTTTGGGGGGGTTTGAAAGACCCAACAGTCTCACCGCAAACATCGAGCTTGCCGAGCCGCATGCCGCGCTGGGCTAGGAGCATAGCTTGCCGACTCCTGTGAGCCACGGTCAATGTAGATGGCTATCATTTCAGACCGGGCACCATAATCGTTTCCTTTGGTTTTGCCTTGAAGTCATCCAACAAGAGGCTTGGAGACCCCTAAAAGGAGGTTGGAAACACATTGTCAGCTATGGTATTTTGGCATTTATGGTGTTCATAGCTAGCACTTTGCGAGCTGGTTCCTTTGGGAGGACAAATGGCTGTGAATTTTGATACTAGCACCTCAAATGGTTGGTGGACATAGTTGTGCCTCCTAATGTAGGGGATCGTGCCCGTGTAGGTAGCTACCCGTTCTTGACTCGGGCTTGTGCATTTTGCCACAGCACATACTCAGGGTGTGTGGTTGGGCCTTAGACCTAATTGCGCAGCAAAATAAGCCATAGTACAGCGTTGCCAGGACCAGCCCGCCCAACTGGCATGTGTGGACAAGCAGCCCCCTCCATGCTGTGAGGGTGCGGGGGTGGGGGCACGGGCCAAGTTGCGCCAGAGGAGGGTTTCCGACTGAAGTCTTGTTCCAATGGCCGTGGCTCGCGAATGTTTCCGCACGGGCTGGGGCTTGGGCAGAAGCCATCCATTGGCACGCGGTAGCCTGTGCCAATGGCCACTTGAACACGATGTCTTCCCTTTTGGCTTTCTTTCAATATTTCTTTGGCCGCTTGGCCAGTCTAAAGGACATATAGGGAACCCTGAAGCTTGATGTCCCAGGCTTCAACGTCACAGCTGGGGGAGGGAGAGCTGGTGCCTTCCTTGGTCCATAGGAGCGAGCGGAAAAACGGTTGAAAGTACACTGACACTTTGCTGGCCAAACGCATACATCCACAATGTATCCATACATATATATATATATATATATGTATATATATAATATGTATACATATATATACACATATGTGAATACATCCACATCCACAAGCGTATGTATCTATATGTATATACATATATGCATTTATACACTTCCACAAAAGTATACCATATACAGATCCAACATGTTGTATGTACATGTGTACATGTACATACATGTATCATCAGCAGACATATCTACATTGACATACCTGCATTGATTTTGATATCCCGTTTGCCGATTTCGGCACGCAGTTCATATCCGAGTGCCTGGTATGTAGTGGCCCTGCCTGAGCACGTCCTTTTCGAAAGCCGCTGGCTGGTCTCTGGCGCGGGTGACCTTTCGGTTCATCAGCATGGTACGAGAAACCTTTTTTCTTTTTTCTTTTCTCAGGCGGATCGCTTCAGCCTCCCTCTATTTGGTGGCCTGAATTGATGGTTTGTTGGTGAGGGGGTGGTCTCCCATTTCCCCTGTACAAGACCCAGGGGTTCAAATCTCCAAGGAACCAATCCGAACAGTTCTGAAAGCTTTAAGGGTTTTTACTTCTGAAGGGCAGGTGCTAGTCAGGGTGGTCAGGTTGGGGGGCAGGTGCTTGCATTTTCTCTGAAGGTAATCCACCTTCAAAGTGATAACGCAGCTATGCGGATGGTTGGTATCACGCGGTGATTTTCCAAAACACTGATCATCAGATGATGGACACCCAAGATAAGGGGGGCTGGTACATTGTGGTGTTTTTCCCAGGTGCTTATTTGGTTGGTTGTTTGCCTGTCTGTCTGTTTGTTTGCTGGTTTGTTTGCTTGTTTGCTTGCTTGTTTATTTGCTTGCTTGCTTGCTTGCTTGCTTGCTTGCTTGTTTGTATGTGTGCGTATGCTTGTGACTGTATGTGTGCTTGTGTTTGTGTGTTTGCGTACATACATGTATTAACATGTATGTACATATACCTATGTGTGGTCTGCTGCCTTGTCCGTTCACCAGACACAGGGCAAGAGTTGCAAGGTGTGCCGCACTGATATTGAGGATTGCCAATCAGGTAACTCCTACTTGATGGTTGGGATTCGTGGTTTGGATGGGGGTAGCTTCCCATTCAATCAAAGAAGTTCAAATCCAATTCCAAACCGATCCAAACTGGTGGTTTGGTTTGGTGGTTTGGACGTTGGGGGGGGGGGGGTGGGGTTCCCAAAGGACAGGCAAGGACTTTGGACCCGCGCCATCCGAGAGAACCAATGGATCGCCATCCTCAATGGGGTGCTGCGCGCTGAGAAATGCATTCCGCTCTAAGGAACAAAAAGGGAGCAGTTGCGATTTCGACTGTGCGAACTGTGCTCGCTGCCCTCTTTGCGGCAATGTCAAGATCCTTCTGGCAGACTACTTTCTTTTTGTCGGCAATTGCTTTGAGAACGGATAGGACGAATGAGCAGAGCGTGAGCAGAGCCTGAAATGATTCTGAATCGCCTTGGACCTGCAGTAATCGGCTGAAATCATTCGGGTGTCCCTCAAAATAAGGGATGGTGTTTCCTTTGGGCGGAGTCCCTTCTTTTAGGGACACCACAGTGTGTCGTTGGTGTTCTGTGTTTGCTGTTTCTTTGCCACCGTTTTTAAGCGCGTGTTTCTCAGCCAGGAAGCAGCGACAGCGCCAGCAGCAGCACAAGGAGCGGCAGCAGGAACAAGCGCAAGAAGAGCAACAAAGAACACCAAGAACGACAATGACAACAATACCGCAAACAACAGGAACAACATCAACAATAGCAACATCAGCATCAGCAACAACAGCCACGACGGCGGCAGCAGCAGCAGCAACAACAACAGCGACAGCAGCAGCAGCAACAACAACAGCGGCAGCAGCAGCAACAACAACAACCACGCTCTGTACTGACGTCTCGCCACGAGCCGAACATGCAGCAATGAGACCATGCTCCCGCCTTCCGGAAGTCAGCTCCTGTTTTCCTTTGGCTCAGCACGAAGACAGGTGTCAAGCGGAAACCCAAGTGTACAGCTTTTGACAACACTCGCAAGTTGCACCTGGGTCTCGGTAGCACGGTACACTTCGGCGCATCGCTCCCAGCGATTGCAAAGTCGACGCCGATCTTCGAAAGATGGGTTGTCGCTTGGCTGCTTTGGTGACCTTTGACATTTTGGGACGTCAGACGTGTTTTGACTGCTGACTTGTTTGCAAAGTCACAAGAAGTCAGAGAGGGAAAGTGGGAGGAGCCTGAGTTTCCAGCACCATTTGCTATTACCCTGCTTTATGGGGAGCTCCCCCCTAATCCTGGCTCTAGTTCGCGTCCTCATCCTTTTTGCAGCTCGGGGCACACCTGTTTGGTCACTTTGGAGACAACATCGACCCCCAAGGTAGCTCCTCGATCAGAACCTCTCGGAAGGTTGCAGAACCCTTCGTGTTGGGGGCCTTGTGGGTTTGTCTCAAAATGGAGGATCTCCCATAAATGGGCGATTTTCCTCTGGTTTCCCATGAACGACCGCAACTGGGAGGCAAAATCAGCTGTCACAATGTTCTTCTGAACTGGGGCTAAACAGCCCCTCCCTGCTTAACCGTTTCTCAAGGAAGCCAAAAGGAGCATGAAACTTCTTTTGATATGTTTCCCGTCCTTCTTGGCTCATTTTTCCGCAGGGCGGCCACGGAGACATGGGTCTAACATTGACTCAAAAAGAACCCCACTCACTTCAATGTTTCTCTTTTCCACGCATCCAACACAGGGCCGGAGAAGAGAGAAATCCAGAGAGCCTTTTCTGGAGCTTTTCTTCTCCGGGCGGCGAGCCCTCTCGATACCTCGAGGTTGTGCCTCCTCCTCCTCGGAGGTCCCGGTGCCGAAGCCTCGACGACGATTGAGCGTGGGCCAGGTGGATGAAACCGATCTTCCCGGGCACGAGGAGCGCTTTGCGAGATCCGAAGACGCTTCGCTCCGGATGTCTCGTTTCCTCGGAGTTGGGACTTTTCGAGGTCGGATTAATGAATATGTTCTGAACGATGTGGCTTTTGTGAAAGGCCCGGAGTGCATTGAAACCTTGTTTTTCAGTTTCGGAGGGTTTTTGAGACCCGCAAGCGAGCTGAAGACAAAGGAGCTTGCGGAAGGTGCTCGAAACTCGGTTGACTCCAACGCAGCACCTGTACAAGCGCGAGGTGTTCGATTTGTTTTCGTGGGAAACTATGCCCAAGAAGAGTATCAACAAGACACATCCTTGGTTTGGCCCAGGGAGGCTTAGATACACCTATTTTTTTGTTTTGGGAAATTTAACACCCCTGGATCTGAGTCTAGCGCAGAACCTGGGTTATCCTGGGTCAACATCAGGCAGAAACGCCTCGGTCTCTGAGAGGTATTGGGCGAAGGTAGGTGGAGAGTTCATCTAGCGGGGGTTGTGAATACACCACCTTTGACAAATTCCTTGGGTGAATGACCCCAACCGGCTTGCCGGTGTTCATACCATATCCTCTACCTGCAAGGGTATACCCATCAAGTGGGTTGATAAATGGGGACACCTAAGGGATATGAACAAGGGTACGTACTTCTGCTCATAGATGACACTTGCCCTAGTCCCCATGCATTTGGTAACTCTCTCCTCCGGTGATTGATCCTGAGAGATGACGGGGCGCTGCATAGGGCAGTTTTGCAAGCTCGTTTCCAGCTAAGGCGCCAATGAGGGACAAAGATATCCCGTCCCAGGATGAGGAAGAAATCGGCATTGTTTTTTCTTCTCTTTTTCTGCGCATTCTTCCAACCAGCAATATGGGGAGAATCCTCTCCAATGGGATGGTGCTGCTTTCGGGTTCTTAGAGGGTGGGGAGCCTGTGGTCGGATGCTTGTTGGGAACATGGCTTTCTTGGGAACTTGGCTTTCTTCGAGCCACTTTGCAGGCAATGGCCATTTTGCAATAAACCAACCAACAGATGCGCGACGTGGACGTTTCCAAGTACCGACTGGGAATACTCCTTGGGTTTATCGTCCGATGGCCGCTGTTTCGCTGCGTTTCAGGGAGATCGCCAGGTTTATGGGGCTCCGCTTCGACTTGGCTTACAACTAGCCCCGTTTGAAGCAAGAACTCAACCCAACTTTCACAGATTCCTTCATTCCTTGACGCAGGGAGGTTAGTTTGGTCGGAAAGCCTGCAGAACTCGGTGATAGCACCTGTGGAGGTTCATGATAAAGGGAGCAACTCCTTGCTGGTTCTCAGCAGGGAATGACCCAGAGTGTTGGGAATGAACCTGGGGGTTTCCTTAAAGGAAACCACAAGGGATGGTTTACAGGGGTTATTTCATTTATCGAACCAGCAAGACTGCCGCTCACTTGCATGTCAGGTGGGAGGGTTGAACAAATCACCTTCGCAGGACGCCGAGTCTGAGAAAGATCGTGGGCTGATAGCTCAGTTCAGCGTCTTGGCTCAACGGCGCAGTTGGATCTGCGTGCAGCATCCTGATATCGGCTGAGTGAATGAACATGAATAACAGATATACATTGCATGATATGTGCATGTCTACACATTCGAACAAGGCTGTTGATTTTGGAAGATATTCCATGATGGCAATGCATATCTCGTGTTGTGCGCAGGGCCGGAAGTCTTTGTGCCACTTTCGATGCTCGGGAGGCCAGAATAATCTCATTGAGATGATCGAAGATGCTGACGCGAGCGGCAAGAGTGCAAATGGCCGGCGGGTCAGCCTGAGCTCCAAAACGGATAAGGGTACCACATCATTCGCCAACAAGACCATGCAACTTGCCTGCAAGCCATGAATCTGCACTAAAGGCAAGATTTCCATATCATAGGATATAGGCCCCTCCCTAATGCCCCCCCCCCCCCCGCTCCATAAAATGGGACCCTGTCATTTGGAGAAAACCAGGGGGAGGAGGGGTTAGGAGACGGGGGGGGGGGTTGAATGCTCTGATTATAGTTCATCAACATTGGCTTGATCCCCGCACGAAGCTTTCCCTTGCAACGTGCCAACCGCCACCATTTTTGTCAATCTTCATACCACGCTTTCTTCTCACATGCTTCGCCAGCAGAACTTTCTGCCTATCATCTCTGACAATTGCCCACCTTGCCCAACTTTGCTCCAAGTGCCCATCTAGGTTTCTGCCTGCCTTGTCAACCCACCTGCCAAGCTTGCTGCTTGTCTTTGCAAAGCTCTAAAGGGTGACAATATGTCAACGGGAATCCGCTCACCTCTGGGCGAAACAGCAACGAACATCCGCAACATTCTAGGTGCGTCGTTTGCTGGGGGTACCCTTCGTGGGGTTGAGGGAAGTCGAAACATAGATATCTCAGATGATCAAAGTGACCATAGTTCATAAACTCATAAATTAAAACTAGTTTCTTGCGAATATTATTTTTGATAGGTTGTTAGTGCTGTTAGTTACTTTTTGGAGATGATTAAATGTTTCAATGTTCATTTTTGCATTTCGTGAGTTACACAATCAATATTCATGTTTAGACTGTTTGTTATCATACATTGATACTGGACATGGACATTTTTTTTAAATCGATTCAAATTCTTTAATATCATCACCATAAACAATTGCATTTGATTTTCGTTCTTTCATTACATTTAAACAATCACCTATAATCTGCAACCACCCATTCTGCATCTTAAGATCACGCCTGGCTGGCTGCCATCCATGCTCATGTGCCATCCCGCAATGTCCAACCCAGACCCTGTTTCCCCTATGTTAGGCGGTGAATTCTTGGCCCAACTCACTGAGATTCGGTCGAAGCAAGATCGAAATGTCGGTCAAATTTGGATGGAGGACTCCCAAAAAAGAACAACCACACAAATCTGGGTGGGGCGGGGGCTCCTGGTTGTCGCATGTTCATGGCGTGAATCGCATATGTTGACCGTTCATGTACGGACCAGGGGGTCATGCCTGGATAAGTTGTACCTTATAGTGCACGGTTCCCCAGAATCAGACTTCCCAAGAAGAGTCTTCCCTCGCGCACCCTTAAATTGCCCGGTTGAATCCCCCGCGGAACCGATACCTACCTGGAAGAAAGGATGGCTTTGCCCGGGCCAGCCCAATCGAGGCAGAAGTTTGGAGACACGGACGTGGACGTGACCAAGGTCGGTATTGGCTTTACGTGCAGAAAGGGGCTGAAGCCGGAAAGCCCCAACCAGGACACCTGGGCCTTGGGATGGAATTTGCGCGATTCGACTTTTTTGTTTTTGGGGGGGCCGCTTCTGAGTTTCCTGGCGCAGTGGAGATGATAGGAACCCTGTTCCACTTTGAAGCTGATTCACGCCCGCGCAAAAAACAGACTCTTCGATTGTACTCGGGCCATACTGGCATATGACAACCCCGAGCTCCAGCGCCAACGACACCGGGAGCACAGTACTACGGCCCACGAACAAGTGGCCGGTGACCAGCTACATGATGTCTACCAGAAACCCCCAATAGCAGGACCCCTAGCACGGCATGTTTTTGCGCAACCCGAATGAGGTTGATGGCTCCAAGATCTGGGTCCCGGAAGTTCAAGGTCTCTGTCTATCTCCCGTGTATCTCTGCACAAATATATACACATACACACACCTCTATATGTAGGCGGTCTGCAAGCAGACTGCACCTCATTTTCAACCCCCCCTACCCTTTTGTGCTTGTGTTTAGTTGACAAACGAACACTCACACGTCACCAAAGCAGGCTTTTTTAAAACAGCCGCAAAAACAGCCCTTGAGTTGCATGCGCGATTTTGACCATGTATTTGGCCAGCAAGAATTGGGAGATGTTTGACTCATGGCCGAGTGGCCACTACCGATCAAGGGTGGGTTGGGTGGGAGCGCAGTGTTCATTGAACAGCGCTGGCTGTCGTTTGGAATTTAGACCGGGTTGCGTGGTTTGCGCTTCTAGGTTGTCGCTGCTGTCGCGGCTTGATGTGACAGACAAACGCACGAACAGAGGTTCATCCAGAAGCGGCGACTGACGTGGCGTGTGGAGAGCAGTCAAAACATGTTCCTTTAGTTGAGGCATGCTGGGCTGCGCGGATTTGATGTTGGTGATGTGGTTTGGGTTGTGCGGGTTGGAAAGGAGAATATATATTATGATAGACCGCCCCGAAAACCTACCTTTCGCACAAACACTTGTGGGTAAATACGTGGGTGTGTCAATGAGGGGAATGTACGATTTGCTTTCATGCTATCTTGCGCGGCCAAGCCGTGCCGTTGCGCCATACCAAGACATTAAGTCTTGTCCTGCCTCAATTTTGGAGGCATTTTATGTTGGTACGATCTATTGCAAGTGGCCTGATGCATCAACTCCTCCAAGGACCGCTACATAATTTATCCACAAGCGTTGCCTCAGCATGTGTGAACAGACGAAGAGCCTTTGCTGAACATCCAAGAAGCAACGAACTGAGACGGTCTGATGCGAAGTCGCGCCGCGTGAGATACGTCACTTGGCCAATCAGATCGAACCCAAACCTTCCGAAGCACGTACACGGTAGGAGGACGAATCCAGCACAGATTACACTGGCAAGCAACAGCGATGATGTTCTTGTCCAATTGATACCGGGCAAGATACAGGCCAGAGCTTTGAAGGATGGGGAAGAAATGGTTTTGATGGGCAACAAGCTGTGCGAGTTTGTATCGCCGCCTGTCAGAAGGTGAAAGTGCACCACCTCATTCCCACTGACGGGGAGGATGATTGAAAGCTTGGTGGGAGGGAGGACACGCTCGTAGGACTCTTGGTTCGTACTGAAGATGGACACCTTTTCGCTCTACGGCGTTTTTGACGGGCACGGGCAGAAGGGCCACGATGTCTCCAACTTCGCGATGGACATGCTGCCAAAGTGCATCATCAAGGAGGGGCTGTTGTTGCAATGGCCGTTGTTCACCGGGCAACACCATGTTCAGCTTATTGGTTTGAACAACACACACTTTGTTGACTCTAATTACTTTGAAGAAAGGAAATTCACCAATCGCATGCGAGACAAAGTCTTGCAAAGATGTACCCACATTGTTTCTGCCGCAGACTGACGCCTGCGATTCATTCCAAAAGCGCAGGACGAGCGATGTTTCACCAGCAGGGACTGGGGCCCCATCTTGGTGGAGGCTTTCAAGAAGACGCAGAACTTCATCATGGTGTCTGACAAGACCAAGACGCTCCAAGCCCAGATGTCCGGCACAACCGCCACTGCTGCGGGCTCAGGAAAAGTGAGATGAGCCATCTTATGGGCAACCATTAGACGTCTTTCAAGAGAGGTATCCTTCACTCCCACTAACAAGGTTTGAACGGGGCAAGTAAAAAGGATGATTCGACCAAACTGAGGGAAATGTGCCATCTACTTTTAGCTGTTTGTCGTCCTTCAAGATTGCTGTATGCAGCCTGATTGCAGCATCGATCCGCATGCTGTCTTCTTTGTAGCCATTGGCAGAATGTGATTTCTTGGTTTTTGCTGGCATTAACGCCCCAGCCTTTGTAGCATTGTGAGACATGTTCGCCCCTTACCAAATGGATCTGCTTTTTTTTCAGGGCAGCCGTTTTGGGCATTGTTCAAAGGGAAGCTACAAGGCAAAGCGCAATTTTGGGGTTCCAGAGTCCCTGAAAAAGCACAGCCAACTATTAATATTGGGGTAGAGAGGTTTTTTTGAACCCCGGGTTCAGGGTTAAAGATTGAGATCGGGCTGAGCATAGATCCAGACTCAGTGTTTGATTCCCCGAATGCCTCAGCCTGTCCTCACTTCTCAGATTGTGTGTTCTTGCGTTTGGTTGGATTTGCCGGCGAGGCCAAGCTGTTTTTGGAGGGTTTTTGGACGAAACCAAAGAAGCATTCCCCCATTTTCAGGGGTCCATTGAACTATTTTAACGATGGTTTGCCCCAGGAAGACGGGTGGGGCAAACCTTCGAGTGATCGAATCCGGGTATCTCAGGTCCTTTATTTTGGAGGCTTCACACGAAGCCGCTTTTTCCGGGCCAAACTGGTGGGTTCTTGGGATAGGTCGCCATCCACGACCACTCGGACAACTCGGTGACCATCGGCCACGTGGCGGACTCCACCGCTTGCCTGGGCACCAAGGTTGGCTCCTCCTGGCAGGGGGTGGCCCTGACCAGAGATCATAAGCCGAACCTCAAGGACTGGGCGATGGGGGATGGTCTGTCTGATTGGGTAATGGGCCCATGCCCGCAAAGACCAGTTTCGTCTTTTAGAGGGGCCCTTTGGCAGTGGACTATGGGGTGGCTATGAGTACTCATTCGAGACCCACCACACTTTTGGGCTTTTTGGATACTCATCAAGGGAGTCGCAAAGCCCTTGATGGTGTGCGAAAGGCAAAGGAATACTTAACCGCTGCTACCCCCACACGTAGGAACGGGATGCGGTGAATCGCTCGTTCCTTTCGTTCCCCATTCGTTCTTATCCGTCACTCACGTTCCCAGATTCATCATTCTCCGGCAAGTTCGCAGCCCCAAAAAGGGCAAGTTGCTGGTGCTTGGTTCCCTGACTTCACGGATCAGTCTTGCTTCCATTTGTAAACATCGGGATCTGGTTCCAGGGTCTTGGGAAATGAAGGGTTTTTGCCCCCTAGACTTGACAGATTGGATGTTGGCCTTAATTTCCACCAATTTCCCCCTCAGCTTCCCTTGACTCCTTGCCCCCTGAGGTGTAATTTCGTGGAACAGTTGCTTGAAGGTTCAATGAATGAACCGCACTTGCCTGATTCGTAGCGCGGCCACTTCATGTCACACGTTCATATCTGGATTTCAATCATGTCGGAGTTGTGTTGCGACCACTACATGTACCCAAGGAGAATTGACGGCACCAACACGGTAGGTGCTAAGTGCTAGTTTGCCTGCGCGTGCCTCGCAGGATGAAAAGGCGCGCATCGAAAAAGCCGGCGGGCGTGTGGTTTTTGACGGCTATGCCAACTACCGGGTCTACGCCAAGAACGCGCGGTATCCAGGCAGGGCATCTCTGGTATGGCCGGGAAAACACTCTCAGGTCCCCCCCAAAGTAGAAGTGGATGTTTCCTGCCAAAATAGAAATGCTTCTCCTTACTCGACCAGGTGCCTTCATCCTGGGTTCCAATATCAATCATTGTCCTGCAAGTTAACAAGAATAATCCTGTGTGTTTTTGACAGAGACCGTGGAAACACGCCCTGCATACCAACCTGGTGGGCTTGCTCTCAATTTTCACTGCGAGCCTTCGCACCGCCAAAATATGTGTCGCATGGAAACAAAAACTAATCCGTACTTGAAGTAAGGGAACCAACCGCAGCCTTTTTGGAGAGAAAGACACGCAAGCTTGGGTAACGAAAGGAGTTTGAGGTGAACTTCCCAGCAGATTGGATGTTAGCCTCAATTTCCCTTGCTTTTACCGTCAGGTTTACCCCCTGAGTTCCTCTGAGACCATCGGATTGGGTGAGCTTCAACTCAGAAGTGGGTCGTGCTCAGTCGCTGCTCCCGCCAACTCCTAAGTCAACCCAGTTGCACGGAACCTGGCACCGCAGACCTCTTTTTGGGGTTCGCTCAGATTTCCAGTAGTATGGTCTATTGGGTAGGGACATCGGGGGACTCACTTCGCACAAAAACATAGGGGACTCACATGTTTTTCACACGTCCTTTACGGGAACCTCATTTTATGACTAGCAAATGCTCTTGGTTGGCGAAAGCCTGTTTCGGTGCAAATTGATCGATGGATGGCTACGTGGAATTTCCTGAATTGTGAAAGCTCGTGGAGGGTGTTAGGGCAAAGGAAATTCTCAATTTAGGTGTGGGGGTGTCTTTTTGCGAGGGAACTCATTTTTGGTCGGTTTTGAAAGGAATCCAAAAGGAACACCCTCATTCTTGGGGTCCAAACAAAGACTCAGTTGAGGCGTGCCGAACTTTGATACAGGCGCCGGTTTTCGCAAATGGCTCTGCCTTTTTGGGGGGAACCCTTCAAAAGGGGTGGTTCTAAAGGGAAGCCACAGGGAATGCACTTTTTTTGGGGTCCCTTATTCCAAGACACAGCCAGATGCACATGTGAGGTCAAATTCAGGCTTCAAGCATGGGGACTGCCCCCAGCCGGCCTCGACCTGCGTTGTTTGTGGGCATTTTCTCGGGCTTTTGCGGGGATCTATGCGAGTTTCTCCGAATGGTGGACCCGGTTTGGTTGATATTTAAGGCGGCACCAGATGGAAGCCAAACATTTTAGAGGACCACTATTTGGCCGTGTCGTCTTTTTGAGGTACCCTTTTTGGTGGATTTTGCAAGAGAACCAACAGGAAAAACAAATTGTTTTCCTTTTCGTTCTTTTTTGGGGGGTTTCCCTAAAACAGACGCACTCATTTGGAGAAACCCCCACCTGTCCCAAAGGCCGTGCCTGTGCGGATTTTGGCTTGAGCCCATGGGTCAGGCTGACTTTCGCAAGTTTTGGAAGTTTCGGTCAGCTTCGGCTTATGAACGAAATTTGGGAGGGACATGGGGGACGAGATTGCCCACTCGCGAGTTTTCCCGTGTCCTGCGGACCGTGACCACATATTCTGGGGCTCTTGTTGAAAGGGCATTCAGTCTTAGCTTCAAATCAGTGCCTAGTCCCTTGGCCACCGTTGTGAGAAGCGCACAACAAGTACGGAAAGCTGCCCTTGTCTACCATGGGTTCGGGGCACACCCCTCTGCCGGATTTTTACTGTGACTCTGGAAATAGGGACCAGAATACTATAGAATAATTCAGTGGGGCCTCATGCCATAGAGGTACTTCTCCCTTGCAATATGCTGGTAGCCTTGCCAGTGTCAAGTTCCGGGCCACCAAATCGATACCCCGAAAAAACTCGAAAAGGGAAACCTGCGAACAGATGCCCTGCAAACATGTCCTGCGGTCGACGCGTTTTCGCGTCTCAGCGGAGGCCTCAATATGTCCCGCTGCTTGGGGGACCTGCTTGGACACTCGGACTGCGGCATGCCGGGGCACTCAGAGATCCATCCATATGGCCATGGGTCAAAACCCCCAGTGAACATCCCAATCCCCACTAAAATAGACTAAAATGGGTGGTGCACCTATCCCAAAATGGTACCGCTATATGTCAGGCACAGTATCCGAAAGTTCGCCGAGCCCACCACAAGCCCCTTTCAGAGGAAAGTTGTCTTCTAACCCCCCCGCCCCCCGACAGGTCCATGTCAGAGATAGTCTGCGGTTTGGGGCTCTGCCGCAGATTCCCGTGTCTGAGGTTTGGCTTCCGGGTGTCAACCTGTTTCGTGGTGTCCCATGAAAGTGCTTTTCTTTGTTTATGTTTTAAACAGCTTTGGAAAGCGGCGTTAGGCATGCGGGTGATGATCTTTTTTCTCTGACACCGGCCAATCCATGTGATCATGTGGGTCTGTTTTTGCCGCCAATCCATGTGATCTGCCCCAACGCCGTTCGGGAAGGATCACATATTTCGCAGGGCCAGTATCTTGCTGCTAGCCAGAGCTCAGCTCTGACCAGGGTCCTGGTTCCTCGATTTGCAAGCTCAGAATGACAGCATTGAAATTATTTATCCGGTGGTTTTTATGATTGGGCGCAAGGCAGCCCTGTAAGCTGCCCATTGCATACTCGAATGAACCGGAGACCAAACCCCTCCAAAGGAACCGCAGAAGTACCTTGGGCTTCTTGTACTAAACCATATAATGATACAATGGTATACACCCTTTTCTGGGGTCACTTACCCATAGGGTATGTAACCCCTAGACTCACCAACCAGCATTCGAAGACTGTGGAAGTCCCAGTGTCAATGGTTGCTTCGCGGTTGGTTTCCTTCCGGTTTCTTTCAAAACCCAAGCACTGAACACATGCAACAGAGTAAAAGACCCTTGGGGCCACGGACCACGCCTCAACCTACGGTAAAAAGCAATCTCTGGAATTCTCCAGGTTGCCAGCCCTGTGGTTTATGCGCAGAACACGGTTTTTCGATGATGGGACACGCAAACTTCAAGGGCTGTTTGAAGGGAGTTTTAGCCTTGGTTTAGGTGAGACCACTTCAGGCAAACACAAATCAGGGTCACTTTGCGTAAGTAGAAGAAAGGCACTAGAAATGATCATGGTTCTGCAAGAGTACACGGAGTGAACGCTGATCCCTGCATGTTCAGTTCTCCCAAAAATCTCAGGGCTGGGGACATTGGCTTCTCTTCAGAAGCGGGATAAACTAGTTGATGCTTCGAAAGGGGTGCAGATTGAAGCAGTCCAGACCACTTGTCGAAAGTGGGTTTGTTAGGACTTCGCCCCATTGGCCAACGTTGGTGTACGGATTCGTGCGAACCACTTCTCCGTGGCACCCAGAAGCGTTTTGGACGGTGGCGATTCGTTTTGCACGGAGGTCTTGTGAGCCGGAGATCAACAAAATTCACTTCGAGAAGGACAAGCAGTACATCCTCTTGGTTTGCAGCGACGGCGTTTGGGACTCTTGGACAGATTTTGGGGTGGCCAGCTGAAAACAGCCCAGCCAGTATAGCATCCAACAAAAGATGGATACAAGAATTCCAGAGTCTCTGAGCCATAAGGGGGCCCCCAAGGAACGGCTTGACGCAGGGTACATCTTAGGAATCCACCGCCGAGGCCTTGACAAGCTGAACACCCGCCCTACGTCATCCATCCATCCATCCATCCATGCATCCATCCATCCATCCATCCATCCATCCATCCATCCATCCATCCATCCATCCATCCATCCATCCATCCATCCATCCATCCATCCATCCATCCATTCATCCAACTTGTGTAGACATGTTACAATGTTTGCATGATTTGGGTTGTGTATAGTGGAATTCAACGCAGTGCAATGCAATTCTATAGGGCATCATGCTATGCAATGCAACACAATTCCATGTAATGCAAATCAGTGTAGTCTAGTGTCCTGTGCAGTGTGTTTTCAATTATATACCCTATCTTGTGTCGCACTGTATTGTATTGTGCCGCGTTGTAAGTTTATTGCTCGGGTTTGTCAATCTCTATGTGTAACTTGACGCCTGCAAGCACCTAAACGCAAAGGATGTCATGCACTGAGCCGGTAGATGGCTGCGGCTATGGCATTGGATACATGGGATACTGTAGACCAGTCATGTAGCTTCCTTTCTCGGTGGGATTGGTTTCTTTTGGTAACAGATTGAGAATGCCCCTTGGGGTCAGGACGGGGTTCCCCGGAGAGAGTTCAGGGTCTGGAATTTTGGGTGTGGATTTGGGGTTTGGAGTTCGGGCTTTGGAGTTTGGGTGTGTGTCCTTTCATTTTACGTTCATCCATGCACTTACATTTTTCCCGTTGGACTGGAATTCCTTCCAATCTTCAGAAGCACAAATATGGTTCTTCGGCCGAGGAAGGACGTCTTGTGGCGGAAGCAGTGCATTCGGTCGGTTTTCATGGCAGGTTTGACTGGCCTCAATTCCCATCGGCCCAACGCCTTTACATGGCTGTCATGTGGGTGTGTCGTTCTATAGGGACTACCAAACTCGTGTTCCTTGAACACCAGAAGCAAGGGGTACCCTCAAAAACGACACACCCATGTATATACCTGTCATGTGCTGTTAGCTTTGGATTCATCTGGAGCCCTCCAGTCAGGGACCCCCCCCCCGCGAGAAACCAAAACAGTAGAATAGTAATACTAAAACTAAGCAAAAGAACAGATCAAAGGTATCATTCCCTACTAAAAGGAGAACCAGCCCTGATTTGTACAGTGCAGTGCTCCAGCTGGATCCGGGGTCAGCCTTACCTGTGAGCGTTCTTTGGACGCTTTACCAACGGTTGAACCGAACGCCCCGAAATCGGCTTGGGCTTGTTCCATAGCCTTAGGCTCATTGGTTGGCATATGGTGCCAAGTTTGGGGCAGGTTGTTCCAAAGGCCCTACATTTGTGTGCTTTGCATTCGGCCCAAACGGTGTTTGACGGTTTTACTTGCCTCCAAGCGCACATTTTGAGAGATTCTCAAAATTTCAACTCGGGGTGGTTTGCCTTACTACCATTCGGAGGGAAATTTTCTGAGGATGTTACTTTACTGAATCTGGTTGTAGACTGAGTAAACCACGCACGCACAGAGCAAAGCCGACTGAGGAATTCATCTCAGCGCAAGAAGCTTGGGGCCCCAGTGCTGGGTGTGTCAGTTGGAACGGCTCGGAAGCTCAATGTAGCTCCTGTGTACTATACCTACCGTATTCCCGTTGTGGCTAGTTTTGTGTTTGTTGTTTTAGGTGCCACAGACAAGGCTGATTACGGCTTGGAAAGATCTCCAAAGGCTTCCCTCTTTCTTTTTGGCATTCGGGTTTGTCTCAAATGGAGCCAACACCCCAAAACGTGGGGTACCCCTCCCCGCACCTTCAAGAGAAAGAAGCGGTATCCATTTCTTGATGGCTCCAGTCAAGTGAGTCAGTGAAGATTACTCGTACTGTTGGCTTGGGAGAAGGTTCACAAAAAAACCCTTTGGGGACCTCCGATTTCCATTTCCTCGAGAGGACGAAGCATACGTTGTTTTCTCCGTCGCTCATATGGGTCTAGCTTTCTTGAGGGTATGAAGGGGGTTACCAAGCATAGTCATGGATCGAGTTGCCGGCATAAAGATGTCTGTTGAAGGAACCATGACTACAACAACTCCGCATGATGGCCGGTTTTAATTATATACAGTACTTTATATTTGTTGATTCCGGAGTTCTGTCACACTGGTTTAACTGCCATGTCCTCTCTACAAGATCCTCTTGTTCCGTGGCAACGCTGGAGAGGCTTCGGGTGCCACAAAAAACGAGGCTTTGTTGCAACGTGTTTTTGGTGTTACACCCGGGATTACGCCTGGGCCATTTGCACATTTTGGCTCACAAATACCACCTTGCTGTTTCGGACCGCTTTCGGGCCTTCCCAAGGGCAAGTCATTGTAGAGTGCAATGCAACATCCCTCAGAGCATTGCGGCATCTCGGTTTCAAGGATCTCTGTTTCACCATCAGGCTGAAGTCGTTTTTCCAGACCGCCATACCCATGCAACAAATCACACATTTTGTCTAGTTCTCCAATTTTCCACCTTGTAAAGGAACCTCTTAGTGGGTTCTTGTGACACACACACACACACAGACCAAGGAGGATGGTTTCCACAGGTTTTAAGTATTTTTCCTAGGGAGGGAAGCTACCTCAACAAGATCATTTCCTAGGGTTGGGTGTATTTGGGTTTGTCGTTTTTTGAGTTGGTACCCCTTGTTGGTTGTTTTGAAGAGCAACCAAAAGGAACACCGAAGCTCGTGTTGGGGGATCCAGCCAAAAAAATAGACCCCGCTGACTCAAAAAAGAACGTCACCCAAAAGAAATACTGGCTCGCGCTTCCGTGGAGCTGAAGGCCGTGGATACCGTCAGCAAGTTTGAGCCCGGGCAAGCGTGCAAGGCTGCAGACGACCTCGCACCCTGGCTGCTGAAGTCGGGTTTTCCGTTTGACACTTGGACAGGCCGGTTGCGCGAGATTCCATAGGGAGCCCCTTGAACACACAAGTCGGTGGGTTTCAGGTGCTGAAACGGGGTAAGGGTCACCGGATCTGGTGCCTTTCAGATCAGCCCCTGGAGTTGGTGTACCAGTGCCCCTTATCTTGTTAAGGCCGTGTATCTCTATCTATACGCAACATCCACGCATGTCTCTTGTATTTTTTTGGCTTTTCTCTCGTCTTTTTTTTCCTCTCTCTCTCTCTCTGTGGTTCTGTGTTCCGTGTTGCTACCCCCTGCCAATGGTATGGGTCCCCCAAAAGCCCCCAACCTCCCCGCTCCCGGCCCAAAGGGCGGGACACGTTCCACTTCCAGACGTAAATCAAGGGATGTTAGATTTCCCAAAATGAAACCGTAGGTTTGAGTCTGCTGTGCATGGTTTTTTCCAGGGAAAACCCATCGAACACCTCGCCTCTGCAAAGGTGGTCGATACTTGGAGACAAGCCCAAATATCCATTTGGACAATGGAAACACAGATTCAGAGGACCTTGACTTGCTCATGGTCTTTCTCAACATGAGTTGCTTCTTTGGTTTCCCGCGAACCCTTTGCGCCCTTTCTGCTTCTGACCTTCAAACACCCAGCTCTTTTTACAAGTCTCAAAACGCTCGATCGACCCTCTGATCACTTTCGCGTGATCGAACCGCTCTCGCTGTGGCACGGTGCTCATATTCTTGAAGCTATGAATCCTAAACCATCGCCGAGCCGATGGGATTTCTTCTAGCATGCTTCCCACGCAGCGCTCGGGCGCGACTTTCCGCCTCGGAACTTCCCGATTGAAACATGTGTTAAACATCTCTACTTTCGGCAGCCTTTTTCCTTGCGATGTGAGATCTGTAGCTCCGGCCCGGGAAGCCTCAACTTCTACGTTGCTGTTTCCAGAACCCCACCACCAAGCCGAACTCGCACCGCGTCAACCGATCCGCACCCCACCAAAACCACCCCAAAAGCAACGCTAAACCAATCTAGGCCAACCGAACCAACCAACCAACATCAGCCTAAATCAGGCTAAATCATCCCTACACCAACCTAAATTCACCTAAACGGACCCTCAGCCAACCTAAGCCAACGCCACACCCACCCAAACCACCACAACCCAACCACAAGACCACGTTGTCTGACCAATGATGGTGTGGGGGGCTGGGAACCGTGTACCACATAGAAATGTATTCATATAAATATATATATATATATATATATATATATATGTACACCTCTAGATACATACACGAATAACATGTGGTGCATGTCGGGGGTGCCTACTTCACGGGGCATGTGATTGACATCTTACACTTTGAGTGGATCCCTGTGCATGATCCAAATCTTGGGGGCTCCAAAAACCTCCATCATGACGCTAGGGAGCGCAATGCTTCGCGTTCCGGACAGCCCCTTTGGGGGTGGCAGTGCGAGAGGAATCAGACACCCTTTTTGGGGAGATAAAGAGCTAGTGACTGGGGTCATTGTCAGGTTTTTTTTGTTTTTTTTTGCGGGGCACCCTTTTGGGATGGTGTTCAAGGGAAGCCAAAGGGAAAACAATCACCATTTTGAGGCCCCCAAAAAGACGCCCTACAGGTCGCATGAACATTTGTTGGTACCGGAACCCTCCAAAATGGATTTCCGCTTTCCTTTTGGCTTTCCTTTAAAAACAGCCAAAAGGGATACCATCTCAAAATCATGACTCCCATATACCATCTAAGAATGAGATCCCAAATGGCCGTGGGTCAGAAATAGGTACCCTGGTGGTTTAGTTTTGAACCATGCCCAAATGGGAAGCCCTATTGCAAACCAGCCCGTGATGTTCGGCGCGTGCGTTTAGGCGAAGGAAGCTTGGGACCGGTGGATTCGCGAGGAGGGCGGCAGCGTAGTGCCTGGGCTGCCTTTGAACTGAGTGCGGGCCAGGGGTATTTTGGAGTTGACTCGAATTGCGCTTTTGAGGCAAACCGAAGAATCCTTCCACCAATTTAGTGGGTGTCAGAGGTGAAAGGGGGGGGGGGTCCCAAAGTAAGAAGGACTCAGAGGGGTTCGAGCTCGTAGCGTGGGTCCCGTTGGTTGGGTTTTGGTGTCAGTATCGGGTCACACATGTTATTGTTCGCCATTGGGTTTCATTAGCTTACCTCTGACGGTTTCAACTTTTGCGGGTCTTTTTCTTGATACCCAATTTGGGGCGGTAAATGGACACCGAAAGGACCCCACTCATGTTTTTGGGGTTTCCTATTTTAAGACAGACCCGCCTTGGGTGGTTCTCACCCGAGACAATGGTCGGCATCACTCTCACGCGACCCATTGACCAAGGTGGACGACATCACGGTGGTCTTGCTCTATATGGGCTGGAACTGAGCTTCTCTCAACCAACCCCGCGTCAGACGTCTGACGCGGGGCGCCTTGACAAAGGGCCGACCACCGTTCCCGCTGTTTGCGACGTGGCTCGTGGATCGGACCCCCCAAGAGACATCCGCGCTCATGGCTCGCTGCACACGCAAAGCTTCCTTTGTCACCTTTGCGTTGAGCGACTGACCGCATGGAACAAGGACAAGGTTGTTCTTCCCGGGAAACCTCAAGAAACCTTGCGTGATCCGCATATTTTCTTCGGTGTGCAGTCGTCATACCCGCCCAATTGGCCGGCTTGCGATTCAAGACTCGACTCGCAGAGTCTCACAGACACCGAAGACTATGTCTTAGCGGCCGATAGCGCCGCAAGACCTTGCAACTCAGACGGGGTGCCAAGAACAGACGTTTTTTCAGCTTCCAACCTTAAGAGAAACTGCCAGGTTTCTTCAGGTACCCTTCAATTGGTGGTTTGGATTGGTGGTTCGGGGATTTGAACCACCGATTAGAAGGAAGCTGATTTCTTCTTCCTTCTGGTCTAGGGCTGAACGCAACTCAGCAGGTCAAACGTGGAGTTGGGCGTCGATCGAATCCCGCTTTAGCTAAACCCCATGGCAGGTTCCCATCACATCCATCACATCAAAAGGTGACCATGCCCACCTCATTTCGGATTCGGGTCATTTCTTAGGGTTGGGTTGATTTGGGTCTTTTTTTGAGTTGGTGCCCCGATTTTGGTTGTTTTGAAGGGACACCAAAAGGAAGACCAACATTTTCGTGGATCCATGAAGCAAGGTTCCGCCTCTGTTCATTTTTTGTTTGGCTACATGATGCTTTCGCGGGCTCGGACATATCCAAAATGTGGAAGCGACAAGGTAGAGGCTGGTGGACATTGACAACCCTTGAAATGTGGAAAGGCCCGGGCCTGCTGATTTCCAAGTCACATGAAGGTCTCATTGGGGTTCTTGAGCTTCGGTTGGTGAATTATAGTAGGCATATCATGGGTGTGTTATTAGAAAGTGTTCGTTCACGAGCAACCCGATGCATTTCCATGAGGCATATATTTGGAAGCACACCATCCATTTGAAGAACTCAGCGCCCCCGTCAAACGCGCTCGCTTTTCACGCGGCCGTCGCCATCCGTCTCACCTGCAGCTTTGCCGCCGTTCCGCTGATGCCGACTTGGTGCAACACGTATTCGTACGCAGTAGGTCGGACTGACCAAACATGCCCAAAAAGGCCCACAGATGCCACGGCGCCTAGGATTTGATCCCAAGCGCAGGCGGACGGCAAACTGTGTGCCTTTGGGTCGAAACCTTGAGAAATGGAAGACCCGTGCGGCCTCGAGGCGTCCGCGGCCGGCAGCGAAAGGGCTTTCCATGAGATTGGCTCCGTTCCGCGTTCATTGGAGGGGTTCTGGGCGCGCCTCACTCGGGGTAAAACTATCATTCAAGGTCCTCTTTCTTGTCTTTTTGTTCGGGGGGATTTCTTTAGTGCAAGGGGGAATTCAGACCCAGGATGCGCTCAAAGCATTCCTCACATGTCCATGATTCCGAAACAAGGAGATACAGAGGGGTGGCACCTGGCAAGAATAGAATGATGAAGAGATGAAACAGAGACGAACAAGATAGGACAGTGATTCCTGATCCAATAGATGACAGGTACTTCCCGGAATGAAAAGACACGGGAAAGGATGGGATTCTTCTTGGCATGCCATTAAACCTTAAGACATGCATTGGGGAAAAGGTAAGAATCATAATCATCGATGACACTTCAATTGCAATGAGAAAGAGACAGCGTACAGGAGGATGAGAGTAAAAGGAAGGAGCATGTGGGTGACCTGAGATGTGTTCTGGCAAAAATAGGTTCCTCTCGGATGCTACACTGATGCTTCTGCTTTGGTGCCACCAATCACAATCGGAACCCATTTGTTACCTGAAAAAGGGCCCCCCTCCCTGGCAGGCAAGGGAACAAACACCCACAGGTGTTCCTTTACCCCGTTTCATTGGGGGCCTCACAAGAGCCACCAACATCCCATGGGTCCACCCCCGTGGCATCTTGAGTACCCGTTTGGAAGGAACCTCGGCAGAGCTACTTGTTTCTTTGCGGGTCCCTGAACGGCAGACGCATTGCTGTCTGGGAGACGTCTTTTCCAACCCCAAGCCCCGCTTTTTGGCTTTTCCGTCTTGCCTTTCGGTTTAGCCCATCGAACCCGTTGGTCGAAGAGCGAAAGAAGCAGCGCTCCGCCCGGCGCATTGGGGCCACCGGCCTTTTCCTTTTCCAGGCACGAGCATAGACGCGGCCAAACCAGTTTGAAGGGTACCCGCTTTCAGGTCGGTTTAATGGGAACCCCAAATTATGAACCCCTGGTTGATTGGGTCCCCCTTAGTGGGGATTCATCCCTTTTGGAGGGGGTGTTACCAGGGCTTGCTCAAATTGCGGGTCAACATGAAAGGGACGCCAAAAAGGACCACCACAAGTTTGGGGGTCCTTTGCCTGGTTTGACACATTTGGACATCGCTTCAGACCGTTTCCACTTTCCCCAAACCGCACAAAACGGCCGAGAGAGTCCGATCGGATTCAGCCAAAGGGTCCAACTTTAGTTTGGCCATTGTCTTTATGGGTGTGACTTTTCTTAGGGTACGCCCGAAATGGATGACGGTTTTGCTTTTGGCTTCCGTTTAACAACCACAAAAAAGGGGTAGCCCTTCAAAGTTTCTGATTGGAAAGATTCAGGGTGAGGTGGTTCCTTGTGAGAGTCCCAAGATCAGAAATCAGCAGAAAGTTTGAATCATAATCCCAACATGCTTCAGGCAAGCACTCAGAGCGTTTGGCCGCTGGAAATTTGCGCGAGCGATCTCCCTCAATAGCAGGGACTGCGGCGTGCGGCTATCGGATTCGCCATCGGATTCGCCATTGGATTTTCCTATAGTTGGATTGGCCACGTGGATGTTTATGGGTGCGTCTCTATTTTTTATGGGACCAACAAACTGGATGAGGGGTTCACAATTTCCTTTTGGCTTCCCTTGAAAACCACCCCAAAAGAGGGTTCTTATAAGAGGCCGGGGCTTCTCCCCGAACAAGCAGACACCCTACCCTTCAAACCATCGCAAGACAGGCGGTTTCCCCCGATATCCCTCATATCCCTCTTACCCGCCTGTCCACTAACATGGAACCCGAAGGGTTCGTTTATCAGAACATGGCCTGGGGAAAGCCGCACAGCCGCCCGAACTTCACCACGCTGGCCCAGACGGGCCGCCTCCTTTACACATGGCACTTCCGCTCAGGAAACAAAGAAACCGCCGGGCAAGGCCGAAGGACTCCAATACAAGTGCTGTTTTTTTTTCCCCCTCTGTTTTTTGAGGGGAACATGGACCCCATGTTGGGGACCCACATGTTTCCCGTTGTGTGCCAATTTGAGCTGTGCTTTTGCCTTTTGGGGTGGAGAAGCTCTTGGTGACCCTAACACACCACCAGGCCACAACACCCCACACTCCAACCCCCCGACACGTTACGCCCCACACCCCAACCCCCCAAGTCTCCCACACCCCACCACGCCCCACCGCCACCCCACTACCCAACCACCCAACCACCCAACCACCCCACATCCCACACCCCAATGCCCCACGCCCCACACCCCAACCCCGCAATGCCCCCCACCCCCAACGCCCCCCACGCCCCACGCCGCCCCCACGCGCCACGCCCCACACCCCACGCACTCATTCGGTTAAAAATAATCCTCAGCGACGTGAGTAGCCCACGTTCTGCTCTTGGGCTATCAGTTTTGCCTAGAAATCCTTGAAGGCGGTGAGAAGCAGATTTGAAGTAAGTTTGAGGTGTTGGGGGAGCCTTGAAAGCAGAAGTAGTTGCACTAGCAACTTCTCTGGCGCGTGCGACACTCAATATTTGCTGTCTATTTCAAAGAAATGATATTGGGATGAATCCGCATGAAATCTGCAGAAAGAAAGAAGGATATTCCTTTTCCTTTGTTTTGTGGGCCTATCTCAAAATCATGATACTAATCATCAGAGGTGCACCCTCTTTCCAATTGTGGAAGTGAGGTGGAAGATTACCATGCTTTTCAAATTAGCCCCACTTCCATTGGGAAAAGAGGATACCGTCAGGAAGGGTTACTTGCCGCAGCATGGGCGTTTTTGACATCTTGCACGTTTGCCTATTACTTGAAATATCGTGCTAGAAAAGGTTTAGATCCTTACGATTGAACGTTGACCAGGCGACAATGCGATACATTCAGAGCGTTGCTGTGAGGAACAGCGGGCGTGCATTGTGCTGTTTTGCTGTTGTGCCTGCGCCCGCCATCTGCTCAAAGGTAAAACACACCGTGCATTTGGAGGAGAATGGGTACGCAGGAGAGACATTTAGACCCCTTCTACGGAGCTTTCCTCGGAATCTTTATGTCCTGCGGGCAGGCCAAAGGCTTTGACTTTTGCTGTTTTTGGACACGCTTGTCACCTTTTTGACGTCTCATGTCTGCTGAGTTGTGAGGGTCCCCAAACATAAAATTTCAACCTCTGGCCCCTGGGAAGGGCCTCCATGGCAGAGCTGCCATGGATAGATACGCTGCAGGCTGAACTCTGGGAAAGGGCTTTCAGTCTGAGTTGGTTTTGGGGTTAGGGAAACTCGGTTCGCCCAAGCCAAACCATCGTGTGGATGACCTTGAATGGGTTCTAACAAATGGGTTCTAGGATGCTACACACCTGATTTGGCCCTTTGGTGCAAGCTGGAACAAGTTTCTTCGAATTTGTTCAGGATCTCCGAAACTTTGAACAGACATATCGCGGCTTGGGCATTTGGCAGAACCAAACATGCACCCACAACCCCACCCCCTGAAAGCTGCCAAGAGAAACTTAGTGTTCGATCACCAATCGGGGCCGAATGGGACAAACTGTGAAGAGCTTGGGGCGCCAATTCTCCCAAGCCATGTTTGCTTTAAAAGATCACTCCAGAGTTGGAAATTCACCTAGCCCATCCCAAATCATAGCAGGATTTGGTGCTGGGAGTTGGCTATTCAGCCCAAAAAAATCCTAGGCATTTTGGTTTTGGGAGTTGGATACTCACTTAGACTTAGCCCACCCAAATTCCTGGGGGTTTTGGTTTTGGTTGGATGTTCACTTAGCCCACCCCGAATCCTGGAGCTTTGATTTTGGGAGTC